GGAAACGTGAGTGATGACTAGGGAGATAGTATTAAGCAGCCACCTCGATGGAGGCGTCGACGTGCATCTCCTGCTTAATTTCAGGGCCAGAGGCGACGTCCCCTTCGATAGGTTCGCCTTGATCGTATACAGCTTCTGTCACCTGAAGTTCTTCTTCGGCATCACCATCAATGGGGTTGGGAGAATTTGGCCCGTTGCCGCTGGCAGAGCGCCTCGCGCCTGATGCACCCTGGGGACCCGACCTCGGCGGATTTGCACACCGATCCTTGCCATGCGCAATGCGGAGGTTAGCATAGTCAGGCTTGTTCTTCACGCCGTCGATTGCCTTGATCGCGTTCGAGACGTTCGTAAAGTTCACGAACGCGCAGTTTCTGGACGACAAGAAATAAGTATCATGAATAGGATTAAACTAAACGATCGACACTCACTTCTCTTTTAAGAAGTTAACAAGCTCGATGTCCCCGAACTCGCCAAAATCCCTCTTAAGTTTGTCATCACTGAAAGTCTCGAAGTCCTCGATGTTGCCAATGTAAACGTTCCTCGTCGCGCCAGAATGGACAGCGAGGGCGAGGGCGGGTGGCAATGGTCCAGAATTCTTGCCCCATCCGATCTTCAGGCGACGATTGTTCAGCGTGAGACCCTGATACGAAGCAACTTGGAAGAACGTGAAGGCAGCTGCTGGGTCAACAAAAGTCACAAACTAATATCGGCAGCTTAGTTCAATTCTGCAAACAGCCATCGTAATGGATACGCACAGCAATATGCTTATCCTGCATGTATCGAATGCTCTGCAATACACCTCCACGGATGGCATTGCACAAATCTTCAGTCGTTGTCTCGGGATGGATGTTCCCGAGATACACTGTCCTGTTCAAGCCTTGCGCGCCTGCCATAGCATCGCCAGGGAACGCCGAGTAGGGTGCGAATGGCGAGCTTGCATATGGTGATTGCACGTTCGGGGAGAGTACAGCCGACTGCGCAACAAGAGACTGGGCCGCGGCGGCTTGAGCTGCCTGGGCAGCTGCCTGTTGAGACTTAGGAATATACGCGCAGCGATCCTTGCCGTAGTTGACGCGTTTGCCGGCCCACGCAGGTTCGGTGGGAAGGGTGTTGACGACCTGAATGGATCACTTTTTAGCAGAATGGTATATAAATATACTAAGTTGACACACCTTTGTGGCTACGGAGATGCTCAAAAAATGCACAAACCCAATGTTCTTGTCTCTCACGATTTTCACCTGGTCAATGAGCCCGAACCTACTGAGATCGTCTCTCAACTGCTCCTCTGTCAACGTCTCGTCAAGACCCCCCACATAGACATTCCTGCTCGCGTTACTCTGGCTGATAGCGAGCCCAACCTGAGCAGGGACAGGAGACGGTTTACCCCAGCCAATCTTGAGTTCTTGGCCGTGCAGAGATAATTTCTTGATAGTCGCGTCAGCATGGAAAGCAGCGGCCGTACTGCCATCTAAGAATGACAGGAAAACACATGATTTCTCGGGCAGTACCCGGATTGACTCCAACGGGCCAAAGTGCACCAAGTTAAGGAGCTCGTCGACGGACGCGGTGGACGGCAAATTGCCCACATAGACAGTGCGGCCCGTGGCGTTAGAGGATGCGCCGAGTGCCGCGCTAAGGGCTGCCGGAGAGTAGGCAGACTGCGCATTGGGGATGTTAATATTGAGAGACGGCAAACGTTGCTGGTTAAAATTCTGTGGTACATTGTACTTGATCGATCAGGACGGGCCACAATGACAAATGGAAATGGAACCCACCTGGCCAAAGTTGCCCATTTGTCCATTATAAGGGAACGCACCAAGCATGTTCATTCCTGGCAGACCCATACCAAGCATATTGTAACCTGCAAACGCACCATATGCATTTCCGTTGCTATTGACCTGTTGTTGCTGTTGCTGTTGCTGCTGTTGTTGTTGTTGCTGAGCAAAAGCAGCTGCCGTATTAGGGCTGAGCTGCGCCATGCCATTACCGTTAGGGGAATGGTTCACGTTAAGAGAAGGCGTGGAATAGAGCGGATTGCCATTAAAGCCCGCGGAGGAAGGGGAGTTATTGAATGCAGATTGAGAAATGCTAGCCTGTGGGCCATAGCCATAGTTAGCAAATGCGTCACGGGTGGCGGAAGTGTTTCCAGACGAAAGGCCAGTCGTGGTGTTAATAGCAGTGGGCGACCAGCGAGCTTTTTTGGTCTCAGGACCACCAACGGCATCCATGGAACGCTTGCAATTGAAGAATCAGATAAGCACATGGGGATGGCAACGATCGAATCACCTTCATCATGTCAATATCAAATCCGTAGGCGGGATACTGGGAGGCGAAGGCTGTCTGTGAGTCGTCCATCGTTGCGTAGGCGAGATGAATGGGGTGTGGGGGGACGGGAATGAATGGATGGAGGATGAAGGCAACGGCGGAAGGGTATGAGAAGAAACAAGAAAGAAGATGTTAATGAGTTTTTGTATAAGTAGAAGGGAGTGGATGGGGGGATTGAGGGGGCTAGAGCTAAGAGCTCTATTGGCAAACGAGTGTGGTTGAGTTGGTTTTAAAAAATGACACGCACAAAAAGGAGAGAAGTGCGATGTATAGATAACGAAACAAAGAATAATATTTCTTGAATTCACGGCTGCCCACCCAACGAATAAAGAAAGGGCGTAGGCAACAGTGGGCGGCGACGAGCGCAACGACGTGCGAGGACGTGAATGAAAGAAGAGGAGAAAGTAGAAAGTGAGCGCTGATTTCCGCTTAGCCCGTCTCAGCGACCACGGTGGGAATTTTATTTTGCGGCGAAACACTCTCCGATCCCCGTGGTCCGTGCACACTCGGTCTGCTCGCATTCTACTACTATACTACTCCGTGTCGCTGTCAATCACATACACCTGGCTCTTCACAGGTCCATCTAGTCCTGGCGCCTTCAATCTCAGCTCGTTGCCATCCTGCTCGTCATCTCGTGCCACCGCCGCGGCAGCTCGATTACTCCGTCGGCTATACTCGCCCCACAGCCTATTCTCGTCCTTCTCCGCCACAATTCCATCCTGCACATCCAGCTCCTCTTCTTGAAGAAGCTCTGCAGCCAATGCCTCTTCATCTGTCGTTAAGGGAAGCAAGGGTTCCTCAGGCTCGAATGATGTACGCTGGTAGCCATAATCCTCTTTTGAAGACCCAGGAAGTCGTATGAGTGGTACGTACATTCCTTGATGCAGATTAAAAGTCGGCGCGACGATTTCCTGGTCCTTGGCACCGGCAAGAGCATCATCTTCGGCAGACTGATCGTCCTCCTCCTCGCCTGAAACATCCGCATCCGAAGCAACTTCCGCGGATAGCACATCTAGACGTTCGAAAACACCCTCAATAATGCTTTCCTTCGTTCCAATTGACGTTGTGCCTGCAAGTTGCATAGCATGGTCAATAGTTGCCGAGAGAACCTTCATCACACCCGGTCAATATCCCATCGTACACATATCACACAGCACGTACTTGCTCCGAATTGAACCTCCACACCTTCGTATGTGCTTTCATGTCGCGCTCTTGTTCGCGGGAGACGATAGCACGTCGGATAAGCTCTGTGACGTACCGCACAACATGAGCGTGCAGGAACTGGACTGCATCTGCTGAAATTTCGGTCGAGACGTCGGGACCAACATTATGGAGAAGATTATACATCCTGTACCCATGAATGTTTAGCATGACGTCTATAAAACGGAAATCCTGCCAACCTCATGAGCTTGAAGAGAGCGGATAAATGGAATAGACCAAGGCCATTCTTGTCCAATGTCTCAGCGTCCATATCCGTAGATTCGAGTAAGCCCTTAATTTTATAATGGCGCGTCTTGCCTCCGATATGAGAGTGGCGAGCATCTTCCTCTTCTTCTTCATCGTCCTCCTGATCGTCATCGACGACCGCATCTCCTTCCTCTGTCTTCCGCTTCTTGCGTGGCTTACTCTTTCTCCCAGGCTTACCTCGTTGGACGACTGTAGACCCTTCGACAGACAGTAGCTCAGTGCGGCCTGTGGCCTCTGCACGTTTTCGACGCATGTACAATCGTTTTTGCAAACGGCGGCGAGATGCTGGGGAGAGGGGAGAGGGGATGGCCGAAGACACGGGTTCTACTGGGGGTGTAGAAGTCGATAGACCAGGTGTAGGCATCGGATTGGAACGAAGCACAGGGTCAATCATTTCTTCGTCTGAAGGGACCGGAGGTGGTTCCACGGTGTTCTGTCGCGAAGTTGCGGTTGCTGCCTGCGTTTCCTCTTCTTCGCGTAGTAGATTATCAATTACCTTGAGATGCGCAACACCCATGCTTCGCATGATATCTTCCTTGTTCCATTGCCTATGTTGCTCCTTCCGCCATAACCTGAATTCGACGCGTTCGCGTTTACGCTCCTCGGCGCTCTTAGCCTCGCCCTTCTTCGCCTTCGGCGGTTTCTTCACCTTGATCTCCCTATCTCTCGCAATTTTTGCTGCCTCTGCCTCCCACTTCCTCTCATGGCCAATGATAGCCGTCGCCTTTTCCTCCTCCAACTCTATCCATTTATCTGACACCTCCATTGCAGCCTCCATCTCACTCCTATTTACCCCACTGCCTTCTATACGAGCACCATCTTCAAGCATGTCTATGTACGCACAAATATCAACCGCGTTCTTCGTCTTTACACATTCCGCGATTAAATCGGGTCGTAGCCTCGAGTGTATAGACAGCGCATGAAAAAATGCGGATTTTTCAGCTGAGGTCCAGTATGATGCTGGACTCTCGGTGTAGAAAGGTTGTAATGGGGATGGATCAAGTCCCTGGAGATGTAAACGGGTTTTTTGCGCGTGCTGGCGGAGGTGCGTTAGGTAGTTGAGGTCTACATCCTGTTCGAGAAACACATCTTCGTCGTTCATTACCGAAAGGCATTCGTAGCGAACAGTCTTTGAGGCTGTTGTCGATGGCAAGTAACGGAACGAGAACAAGAAGATATATGAACGAATGACAAAAGGTGAAAAAACTAGGTGACACCAGGATTCGAACCTGGGTAAACAGGAATTTGGCCTTACGTCAGCGGCGGCACTTCAAAACCTGTCATCTTAACCGCTGGATCATGCCACCGTCGCCGCATTCTCGAAATTATGTCCCAAATCATGTCTTGACTCGCTAAGTCACATCTGTTATCCTAGCATGGCAGAAATCGAGACGGACTTGCGCAACATAAGTAAATCCAAACCCTCCATATATATATAGTGTGTAAATGCGAGTAATGTATTTTACAAGGGCTAGCGCTAGACAAATTCACCACTATTACAACTTGAACACGGTCATACCACTTTATTACATGACTTTCAAAATGACTTCTTAGGTTCCATGTATGTAGAATTTCTTGCTCATTCTGCTGTCGTTCCCTGACTCGTCCAGATATTAGCTCGCTAATGTCGGCCAATATTGGTGTAGGGCTGACACCATTCATCAGAGCTCCGTTCGGACCATATCGTGCTCAAACGCGCTGGTGGCGGCCTTACAAAAGTTATGCCGAAATCTGCTGAAGACGAGGAGGAATGACTGCGTTTGCGCGCCATTACATCCGAGAAAGATCGATCTCGCGAGAATGTGACATCCGCTGCCGCCTCGTCGTAACGGTGGCCGGCGGCGCTCGGTGCGTTGACTTGTTTCTTGAGATGAATTGTAATGCGAGACATCATTGTGACCTGCGCGGATTTATTACGAGAACGCGGGGAACATCAAGCAAAATGACCTACCGTGAGCCTTTATAATATTGTAGAAGAGAATTGAAGAGTAAAAATCGGACCGTCAGTTTCGTTGATAGTCAAATCGGGTGAACTTCATTGACTCACAAAAGCTGGAGTTGAGCTGTAATATTTTTCAGGCCAGGAGGTGCGCCAGCAATCATGATCGTGAGCACCATCGTCACTACGCAGATAACTGCATAATATTTCAAGCCGTCTGTCAAAATAGTCCGCACAATAAATCCTTTCTCGCTTCGTCGTATAGATGGCACGGTGACATAGAGCGTCAGGAGCAGTACAAGTGTGTCGTAGAGGAGAGGAATCCACGCAGCACCTGATGAGAGGACCTTCGGCGAACCGTAGATCATGCTACAAGCTATCAGGAAAGTCGATAAGCAACACATGGGCGTACTGAGACGTTGGACTCACAGTGCACCTGGTTCTGTATGTTCCAATGTTCCACAGCTACATAGAGGCAGGGCCATCAGCAGCTGGTCAACTGGGATCAAAAGAATCGACGTACGAATGGCGTATACGAGCAAATATACATTTATGACAGTTTCTAATAAGAGAATGCAAGCCATAAACGCGACAACAAGCCGAGATTTGTTGTAATATAGAGCGTTGATTCTGCGGATGGATGAGCATGATGCCTAACTGTAAAATGAAAAACTCACCGAATTAGCATCATGAGGCCGACTACCTCAACACCGACAGCGGTCATCACACCTTCATACCTCACATACCGCTCACATCTGCAAGAAATTCCGAGGTCAATATCTAGCAACGCAATCTGATGTCAAACCACAAAGTCTACGAACGTCTACAGACAAATATTTGAATTGGTCAAGACTTTACGAGAAAATAAATACACACCTTGTCGGGCCAGTGTTCTAAATTATATGCTAGCTGACGTTTCAGTCTTCTGGACCCTTTGTGACAGCAAGCTGGGACATACCAACAAGGTTCCTGTTGAGCACGCACGCACGATCAGCAATAATTCCACAAAAATTGTACAACAAAGCCACGAACACTATGAAACCTACCGCACGAAAACATCAGTGCTATTTCCCAAACAAATGACCAACAGCCCGAAGTAAATGTACTCACCTAATGGCATCACATAGCGATTGAAGAAAAACAAATAGACCACTAATGTGGGAAAGTGTCCATCAGGCCGCGCAGCCAACGAGCGTTGTCTTTCACGTACGGGCACCTTTGGACCCTTTCCATACGTATTCAACCTTCAATTTTACCGAGATGGGGGGTCAGTCGTTACTCAGAGTGAGAGCCACGACTCACGTACCTCCGCAGGGAACGATATCAAGTGGTCATATATCAGTACGGTGAAGCTAACGAAACCCATGACCTGCAAGACATTTAGAAGACAGTTCCAGTTGCATGGAGCCAGATGCTGCCTCACTCGTGTTTGATATCTATTCGGGGCCAAAATATGAGCAGGGGACAGACTGCTCTCCGGGGACACTCACATTTCGTTCACATCTTCATATATCTGAGCCTGAGTGGGCAGTGGATGGGTTGGCGACTGCATGGTGAGCTGTGAGCTATAGGACTGCTGATAGCGACATGCGTATCCTGCTCGAGAGCTGCTGTGGGATAAACCTTAATATATACAGCAAGTGCCGCTGATCGAAACCGCAGTGACATGGCTGTCAAGCGTGACGAGTCAGCAAAGTCCCCAGAACGAGCAATCTTGCACCGACCTCATTCTCAAGCTTGACGCCGTCACGCCAGGCTGTGCAAATTTTATTTAATCAAAATGCACAGCCTGAGCAGGCTGATGTCACCTGGTACCACTCACACGCAAAAATTGGATTGGGTCATACGTGAGTACGCCCACAATAAGTATGGTTTAAGCACAATGCACCACAAGTGGAACGCGAGATATTTCAAAATTTGAAGCGACAGCTCTCCCTGTGTAGACGACTCTGCACTGCCATCACCACGTCGCATATCGCGGCCTCTATCCGGAAGCCCTGCTGTTAAATTGCCAAATAATATGAGGTCATCCCGCTTTGAAATTAAAACCCTGCCTATCATGCTATCACACAAGCACAACGCAGGCACAGGAACCCGAAAACTCACTGGCAGGTCGACCTTAGCCACGATAAAGCAGATATGGAGACCAAGTGACCATTTCGACTGCTCCGCAGCGACACTATCGATGTATGGACTCCTACTCTGAGAATTCTGAAACGCATACTATACTCGAGGTACTTATATATGGAAACCCTCAAGTCCGTGTTTATAATTATAACTCGTTTTCTGACAGATGCACAGTAACCTGCTGTTCAAAGTTAAGTCCCACCTACTAGAATCAACACCAAGTGATGTATATCATCGTTTCAGATTTTGTGCTTTCTCCGTTCCTGACATGCAGGCAGGAGAATAGGGACTCCAAAAAAATTGGAAACGTGGTAGGCGAGTGGATGATTCCTGAGCGTGTGAAGAGCGTGGCGCAACGAGAAAGCCCCATTTCCTCAATGACACGATACTTGACCAAGCTACCTCAACGTGGTACACTCCACACGATATCCAAAAGACTCAGGAGCCTAAAGTGGGTCAGGTGCCCCAGCAATAGCACCGTGGCTTGGAAAATAGCTCGCCTGAAAGTGCACTTGCGCTGGAGAAAGTTCTCTAACGGTACCCATATAGTAGTAAGCTCTTCGTGCGAACAGATAGGTAATGAAGCCGTTTAGATACAGACCTTGACAATTTTACTTGTGGCGTAGCTGCCCCAATCCCAGTTATGATAATTTGGCGATGACAGATTTGAGTTGGACTTACTTGGGGTTAAGCTCTTCGGGAACTGTCAGACAATGGGGCCAAAGTCCGCCAAGGAATACTTGGGGCCCATAGTAATCGGCACAACGGTGCTGAGTCTTTTTAGCTAGCAAGCGTATTCAGATCTGACTGCGCAAGGTCGTATTGGAAGATGCTATTATAGTCATAGTGGCTGGCGGTCAAGTGAAAATACGCCAAGTGGAGTTCCGACGCAAGGCATTGGAAGCGAGATGCAAGTAACACATCCGATTGATGGATTAGATATGCTGTTATCTTGTACAAGATTTCGACAGGAATGGCCAGAGCGCCACGGCGATCTTCAATCTTGATGACAGAATTTGAAATACCATCCAGAAGAATGTGAGTGCCATCAATCAAGTTCTGAACAGCAGATGATAATCTTGACATAAAAGCAATGAAGTTCCGGAGTACTACTCGAAAGGAATATTCCAATATACTCTTCGGTGTATTGGCTTTCACACAACATGACATCAGGGGGAATGGCAGGGTTGAAAGACGAACATGATGTTGAATTCTACGTACCTGCCTCTAGCATCCTGTAAAATGATCGGCGAGGCATGAGTTGCCTAGCAACTTACGCCGATCATAATTAGCAACGAGCTTGAGGCAGATTTTCCTTTTATCATTGGCCAATGTTTACCGACTCCATTAATCGCGCTTTGTGTCCATGTTATTGCAAGATTGTGACCTGGCGGCTTAGCGGTGGTATGAGGACAACAGGTTAAGCGCCGTAAACGGCTCATGATCGCCCTCTACGCGTCTCCGTCAGGTTCAATCTCCGCTACTACTAGTTTCGCTATTCGCTTTCCGACGTCACGCGTACGGGTCGTGTTGATCCCGAAGCCTCGTCAAAATGTTTATTGCATCTACGGTGAACGCAGCATCAACGTCAGGCAATGATGTCCCTGTCATTGTGTTGACCTATGGAGAGGAGAGCTGTCTTGTGAAATTACCGTTCGCATATGAGGCGCGTATTTTTGTGATGTCTTTCTTTGGAGAGCACAATTGATCACGGCATCCTTTACAGGACTTAAAACAATTGACCATGCGGACTTTTGGCATTGATGGTTCATCCGTGAGGTTTACGTTCAGCACCTCGACTTTGGATATATGCCAAGGGCGCGCAGTCAATATTCATGAGAGTGCATGGGAATATGTGCGCTCGTTCGTAGCCGAATTACAAATCAGTATCTCCGGCAGTAAAGGTGAACGTGGAGTGTCACCGATACTTCGTGATTGCTGACAATATTTGTCAATGTAGATCAGGAAACAAACAAGAATATATCATCTGGAGAGGTCCAGCCAATATCTTTATTCTCAAAGGCTCACGAGTCTCACGATAAGGTTCTTTCTGATGAACTTCCACAGGATGGCGAGAAATCGGAGGACATTGAATACGAAGACTTGCCTGAAGCCAGAGATGATGAAGTCGAAGCTCTGGATTCTTACGCAGGAAGTGCTCCTGATTCTGATGATGAAAATGATTCCCATTTCGAGAGGAGCTTATCTAAAAAATCAGAGGGATTTGAGTATCCGACTGAC